GAAGGACACTACATAAGAATTAAAAGGCTCAATCCACCAGCAAGAAATATCCATCTTGAATATATATGCACCCAACATAGGAGCATCCAGATTTATAAAACAATTGCTAATTTAACTAAAAGAGGACATAGATAGGCATACAATTATAGTCAGAGACTTTAATACTCTGCAAACAACCTCAGACACATCATCACAGAAAAAGCTAACAAGAAAATGCAGAACCTTAACTTAACCCTTGACCAATTGGACCTAATAGACATCTATAGAACCCTTCATCCAGCAACCACAGAATATACATTCCTCTCATCAGCACATGAAACATACTCCAAGATTGATCACATACTCAGACATAAATCAAGCATGAACAAATTTCAAAAGGTTGAAATCATACCAAGCATCTTTTCAGACCACAGCAGAATAAAAATAAATATAATCACCAATAGGTACTCCTCCCAAAACACACAAATACATGAAAATTAAACAACATGCTTCTGAATGACTTTTGGATTAGCATAAAAATTGAGGCAGAAATAAAGATTCCTAGAAACAAAAGAAAACAAAGACACAACACACCAGATCCTCTGGGAAAAAATTGTGCTGAGAGAGAAGTTTATAGTATTGCACACACATATTAAGAAAATAGAGGAATCTTAAGTAAACAGACTAACATTGCAAAGGGGAGCTGGAAAAACAAAAACACTCCAATCCTAGAATTAGTAGAAAAATGGAAACCATGAAAACAAAGTCAAAATTGAAAGAAATAGAGAAAAAAAAATCATACAAAGGATCAACAAGGCAAAAAGCTGATTCTTTATAAGAACAAATAAGATTTACAGACCCCTGGCCAGATTAACAGAGAGAGAGAGAGAAAGAGAAAGAATAAGCAAATGAATTAGAATAAACACAGTTAGAATGAATTAGAATGAACACAATTAGAAATAAAAAAGGTGATGTTACAATTGACCCTGAAGAAATACAAGCATCTCAGAGACTACTATGAACATCTACTATGAAAAAATTAGAAAATCTAGAGGAAACAGAGGAATTCCTGGCATTATATAATCTCCCAAAATTGAAACACAGAGAAGTTAAAATCTTAAATCCTATTTAAAGTATTCCAGGCAATTGAGAAGGAAGTAATTCTCCCCAGCTCATTCTATGAAGCCAATATCATCCTAATATGAAAATTGGGAAAGACCCAGCAAGTAATCCTCAGCAAAAAGACAAAGCTAAAGGCATCACACACTTTAGACCTCAAACTCAAGACAGCATGGTACTGGTACAAAAATAGACACATAGATCAATGGAACAGGACAGATAATCCAGAAATAAAACCACAGAACTTCAACCAACTCATCTTGGACAAAACTGACAAGAACAGACATTGGGGAAATAAAACCATATTTAGCAAATGGCACTGGGAAAACTGGCTAAAACCACATGCAGAAGAATGAAACTAGACCCCCTACCTATCACCATGCACAAAAATTAACTCCAAGGACTTACATGTGAAACCTCGAACTACAAGAATCTTAGAATAAAATTTAGGTAACACTCTCCTGGACGTTGGAGTAGGCAATAAATGCAAGGCCAAATCCTCAAAATCAAATGCAGCAAAAGCTAAAATTGACAGATGGGACCTTATCAAGCTAAAAAGTTTCTGCACAGCAAAAGAAGACATCAAAAGAGATGGGAAAACCCAAGATGGGAAAATTATTTGCAAAGCATACATCTGACAAAGGACTAACAACCAGGATCTCTAAGGAGCTCAAACGAATTGACAGGAAAAAAAAAACCCATTAAAAAGTGAGCAAAGGATATGAACAGGCACTTCTTAAAGGAAGACACCCAAGAAGCCAACAAACAAATGAAAAAATGCACAGCCTCACTATTCATTAGAGAACTGCAAATCAAAACTGCAATGAGATACCACCTCACACAGTTCAGGACGGTTATTATTAAAAAGTAAAAAAGCAACAAGTGTTGGTGACATTGTTGGTGGGAATGTAAGCTAGTTCAACCTTTGTGGAAAGCAGTGTGGTATTTTCTCAAAGAACTAAAAACTGAGCTACCATACAATTCAGCAATCCTACTTCTGGGACTAATCCCAGAGAAACATAAATTGCTCTATCAAAAAGACACCGTGCACACATATGTTTATTGCATTACTATTCGCAATAGCAAAAACAAGGAACCAACCCAGATAGCCATCCAAAGTGGACTGGATAAAGAAAATGTGGGTACATATACATGATGAAATACCATACAGCCATAAAGAACAAAAATCATGTGCTTTGTAGCAACATAGATGCAGCTGGAGATCATCATACTAAGTGAATTATCACAGAAACAGAAAACTGAATACTGCATGTTTTCACTCATAAGCAGGCTCTAAACATTGAGCACACAAGCACAAAGGTGGGAACAACAGATGATGGACACTGCTGATGGAGGGAGGAAAGGAGAAGGGATAAGGGACACACCAACAACCCACTGGGAGTCATGTTTATTACCAGAGGGAGAGAGGGCTCTCAAGAAGCCCAAACCTCACCTGCATGCAATTTACTTATGTAGCAAATCCTCACATGTACCCATAACTCTAAAATAAAAGCATAAAAAACAGTAAAAATTAAAAAAAGACAGGGAGATTATCTGGGTGACAGTGACTTAATCACAGATGGCCTTATCAATCTGGGGCTAGAGGTCAGAGACAGGAAGTCAGAGAGACTCAAGGCACAGGAAGGATTAGTTGTGCCATTACTGGCTTTAAGGATATAAAATTACTATATTGTAAGGAATGCAGGTAGCCTTGAGAAAGACCCCCAGATGACAGACAAGGAAACAGAAACCTCATTCTTACAACTACAAGCAATTGAATTCAGTGGGCATCAAGAACGAATTTGGAACAGATTCTCCCATGGAGCTTCCAGAAGGAAATGTAGCCTTGCTCGCATCTTCATTTCAGCCTTGTAATATCCTAAGTAGAGAATCCAGTCACACTATGCCTGGACTTCTGACTTACAGAATGTGTGCTCATAAATTCTTAAGTAACTAGGTTTGTAGTAGTTTGTAAAGGAGCAATAGAAAATTAACATAACCAATAAGTGGCACTTTTACCATCTTGACAGTAAGTATTGTTCTCTGTAGATCTAGATAGTATGCTAGAATTTAATGTCCGTCTCTAAAGCTGAACTATGTATAGTGCAGGCAATGAAAACTTGAAGAAATTACAATTATTTTCTGTACTATTTGTGTGCTTTACATATTTTACTTATTTCCCAGGTATAGCCAGCCATCCAAGTTCTTTATATCACCTACTATTCTTGTCTTTGTCAGTCATTTACTTAAAGTCTTAGAGCTCCTCCTAAAAATTTTAGAGAATTTTCTATTTGTGTATTTGAAGCTGTTCCTAGTTCTAAGATTTTAAGTAACGAAATTCATATCAACTGAATTGGGGAATGTTGTGCCCTCCAATGACTATAAAATGTCTGCCTAAAGACACCTAAAAGTTGGCAATGGCCTTTCTATCAGCAGAGCCCCTCTGCTTTCTGTTTCTGATGGTTGCTTCTGTGTTCTAGCTGCTCTGGGGTGGTAGGTAAATTTTATATTTACTCCTTTTGATAGGAAGACTATCAAAAGGAGTTTGGATGCCTTTCAAAAGGAGACTGCAGTTTTCAATTTAATCTAAGTTAGAAAGGATCTTCCATTTTGTGAAAATATGAATTCTCTGTGTGGTGCCATTAAGCATTCACTACTACTACAGTCCAAATTGGTATGGCTAGCAATCAAAAATACTTCCATTCACTCCTACTCCATTTAACTAGAAAATGTAGGAAAGTAGACAAAGATGAGCCAAATGTGGTATTATTACTCATCCCTCTAAGGTCTTAAATCTTATACTGTCACAAAACAAGTAGAACTATAATATATATATATTTTTTTTTTCTTTTTTTGAGTTGGAGTCTCACTCTGTCGCCCAGACTGGAGTGTAGTGGCCGCTCCCGGCCACCGCAGCCTCGACCTGCTGGACTCTGGTGATCCTTCCGCCTCAGCCTTCCAAGTAGCCGGAATTACAGGCATGTGCTACCACGCACGGCTGATATTTTGATTTATTGTAGAGATGAGGTCTTGCTGCCCAGGCAGGTCTCGAACCCGTAGGCTCAGGCAATCCACTCACCTCAGCCTCCCAAAGGCACGGGATTACAGGCTAAGCCACCGAGCCCGGCTTGATATATATTTCACAATTTGTAAAGCCAATGTGATACTCATTTGACAATCCTAGCACATTTTAAAAAAATTATAAAATCATTGCTTCCCTCTAGTAAATTTGGGAAACTCCAAGCTCACCTCATCCCGCCTCATGCCATGCTTATGCTCTTCCTCATAATTCGCTAACGGATACTTTGAATAACTGGCATGCTTCAGCTCCCTACACATTGTTATCATTCTATCTTTACATAAACTACCAAACAGTACAACATCATCTTCCTTCACCCAGAATTTGACACTTAATAAATATTTACTGATAAAACAAATACATGTAGGCAAGTGACCTCTCATTTGGCCAATTACACTAAAAACAAGACACCACGGAGCAGTCATGCACTCTTATAATGGCCAGCCTCTGCTAAAGAGTGACAAGGTTACTGGGGGTTAAATTCTGTCAAGACCTGGGGTAAGAGCGTATACTAACAGTGTGATCAGGTTCCAGTGTTTTCAAACTTTTTTAATACCAGAATTTAGTGCCCTTTTACTTCTTCTCTCCAGCTCTGACATTAGCCTGTTCCTAAAATGGATTTATCTTCATCTCTGCTCATCTTTCTCCAAGGGCAGAGTAATATTCATGAGTGAGTTAAACCTTTTTTACATAGTAGTAGGGCAGAAAAAAAAATAACTTCTGGAAGACCAACTGCTAAACCCAGACAACAGTGATGGCAAATGGCACAATCTATGAGAAAAGTCAGGCTTAGGAAGAACATGGGACCATAGTGGCACTGGAGATTATAAAGGGTGAAGAAAAGAGGTGATTCCTTGTTTTAGTCTTTACTTGCAGAATTACCCTGGACCTACCAGAATGGCTAACATTAAAAAGATAAAAATATCAAGTGTTGGTAAGGATAGGGAGCAACTGGAACTCTTATGTATGCTAGAGGATGTGTAAATTAATAAAATCACTTTGGAAAACTGTCTATCAGTATCAACTCAACTCATACCCTTACACTATGGCCAAGAAATCCCATACTTAAGTAATATCTAGTTAAGTTCACAGCAGTCCCCAAACTGGAAACTATCTAAGTGCCCATCAACAGTAGAATAAATACATTTTAAATATTATATTCATATAATAAAATGGTATTTAGTAATGAGAAAGGGCAATCTACAACTCATGCAACAATATAGATGTATCTCAAGAGCATAACACAGGTGGAACAAGATCAGATATAGGTAAGTCAGTATTAGTTATTACTATAGTTTGGTATGTTTGTCTCCCAAACCTCATGTTGAAATTTGATCCCAATGTTGGAGGCGGGTTTTATGGGAGGTGTTTCAGTCACTGGGAAGGATCCCTCATGAATGGCTTGATGCAGTCCTCAAGACAGTATATCAGTTCTCTCTTTATTTGTTCCCACAAGAGCTGTTGTTAAAAAGAACCATGTACCTTTCCTCTCTCTTACTTCCACTCTTTCACCATCTGGTCTTTGCACACATCAGTTCACCTTCCGCAGTGAAAGGAAGCAGCCTGAAGCCTTCACCAGAAGCAGATGCTGATGCCGTGTTTCCTGCACAGCCTGTAGAACCGTAAACCAAATAGGCCTCTTTTCTTTATAAGTTATCCAATCTCAGCTATTCCTTTATAGTAACATAAATAGATTTAGATATAGACTGCAAATCAGCACTGATATATATAGTCATGAATTCACAAGACTATTGAGAGAATTAAATGATATAATGTGGGAAAAAGTAGTAAGAGCCTAGCAAGTAATAGACACTAGACACCTGTTCATGTATTCATTAACTAGTATTTTACTTATCTATTGCTGTCTAAATCACCACCTTGAAACACAGTGGTTTAAAACAGCAATAGATTATTTCTCACAATTTGGGGGGTTAGCTAGGGCTCAGCTGAACAGTTCTTATACTGGTCTCACTTGGGGTCTTTCATGCAGATACAGTTGAAAGGTAATGGGAGCTAGAAAGTTCAATGACTACACTCCTGTGTCTAGCACCTTGGTGAGGATGACAGGAAGGCTGAGCCCCTTGGGGTGCTGGGTTGTTGAAATTTCTCTTTCTTTGTAGTCTCGGAGTCTCTTCTGCTCCATGTGACTGCTTCATGTGGTCTCTTCCTGTGGTATCTGCAGCAGAGTAGGTGGACTTTTGACTTGATGACTCAGGGTTCCCAAAGTACAAATATGAAAGCTGCCAGGTCTTGAGCCACATTCAATTGATTGAAGCAAGTTTCCAGATTCCATGTGGGAAGGGACTACACAAGGGAGTAAATACCAGGAGGTATGGTTCATGGGAGGGCATCTTTGGAGATTAGCTTTCACATGGGGACATTTATAATTCAGATTCAAATATATCAATTTTCATTTTTCTTTATTTTAACAATGTACAGCCAGGTTTGGTGGCTCAGCCTTTAATCCCACTCCTTTGGGAGGCTGAGGTGAGTGGATTGCCTGAGCCCACGGGTTCGAGACCTGCCTGGGCAGCGAGACTTCATCTCTACAATAAATCAAAAAATCAGCCAGGCATGGTAGCGCATGCCTGTAATTCCAGCTACTTGGAAGGCTGAGGCGGAAGGATCGCCGGAGCCCAGCAGGTCGAGGCTGTGGTGGCCGGGAGCGGCCACTGCACTCCAGTCTGGGCGACAGAGTGAGACTCCAACTCGAAAAAGAATGTACTTCCTCAATTAGCATCCATTCTTTGCCTCAATTTTTTTTTTTCTAAGATAAGCTTTAGGTTAATGAAGTTAATGAAGTGTTGAGTCTGCCAGGCAATCTTCTAAAATGTTTCTGATGATCTCTGCCATCTAGTACTCATGCCCTTATGTAATCCCCTCCCCTTGAATGTGGGCTGAGTCTAGTGATTTTCTTCTAATGAATAAAATACAGCAAAAGTAAGAGGAATTATAAACGACTGTAGCTTTGGCCGGGCTCGGTGGCTCAGTCTGTAATCCCAGCACTTTGGAAGGCCAAGGCGAATGAATTGCCTGAGTCCACAGGTTCAAGATCCACCTGGGCGACCTGGCGAGATCTCATCTCTACAATAAATCAAAAATTAGCTAGGTGTGGTAGCGCTCGCCTGTAGTACCAGCTACTTGGAAGTCTGAGGCAGAAGGATCACCAGAGCCCAGTAGGTCGAGGCTGCGGTGACCAGGAGCGTGCCACTGCACTTTAGTCTGGGCAACAAGAGTAAGACTCCAACTCAGAAAAAAAAGACTGTGGCTTTGTCTCATTGGCTTGCGTTCTCTCTCTCTCTCTCTCTCTCTCCTATCTTCTTGGTTTTCTTACTGTATTAGTTTCCTAGGGTTGCCACAAACTAGGTGGCTTAAACAACAGACATTTATTGTCTCACAGTTTTGGAGTCTAAAAGTCTGAAATCAAGGTATCGGCAGGCTTGGTTCCTTCTGAGGGCTATGACAAAAGGATCTGTCCCAGGTATTTCTCCTTGGCTTGTAAAAGGCATGCCCATCTTCTCCCAGTGTCTCTTCATACCATCTTCTCTCTACATGTATCTGTTTCTATGTCTAAATTTCCCCTTTTTCTAAGGATACCAGTCATACTGATTTAGGGCCCAACCTAATAACCTCAGTTTAACTAATTATGTCTGCAACAACTCTATTTCCAAATAAAGTCACACCCTGAGGTACTAGGGGCTAGGACTTCAACATGTGAATTTGGGGGCATACAGTTTAAACCATAACAGGGAGGATGAATGCTGTGTAAATGACAAAGGAAATATTCTAAGTGTATAACCCAGTGGTTGCATATAGTACCTCCCCTCACATGCCATTGGCCAGCCATTAGCCACATGGAGGAAGAAAGGGAGAATAGATATAGGGGACAACTAGCAGTTTCAGACATGTTACAATTTACAAAACTCGTATGAAGGATAGAACGAACTTCTTTCTTCAAACTGCAATATTAATTGCTCTTCTGTTGTGAATACCAGTCTATTATACTAGAAATTTTACAATTATTCCTCACAATAATCCTGAAAAGTAATTCCCTCTCCTCCTACTCCTCCACCCACACCACAAATTACAAAAGAAAAAAATTGCTGGGTGCTGTGGCTCACACCTGTAATCCCAGCACTTTGGGAGTTGGAGGTGAGTGGACTACTTGAGTCCAGGGGTTCCAGCCTGGGTTCCTAGGTGAGACCTCATCTCTACAATAAAACAAAAAATAGTTGGGCATGGTGGCACAGGCCTGTAGCTGCAGCTACTTGGAAGGATCTCCTGAGTCCACATGTAGAGGCTGCCGTGAGCATGAGTATGCCACTGCACTCCAACCTGGGCGACAGAGTGATACTTTGACTTAAAAAAAAAAAAAAGTAGGGGAAGGGGGAAACCCAGGCTCAGAGAGATTAAGCAGTTTGCTCAGAGAGAACCTATTAAGTGGTGGAGGCTGGAATCTGAGGATTTTGTCTGGTACTAAAGCCTAATCAGTTCATTTCACCATATCAACAGAACACCTCATCGTATTACTTAACTTCATTGGCAGTTCTGGTAGTGACATCAAGATTCATTTGGAGACACGAGAAATACCCATTTCTAGACTTTGTGGGCTAGTAAAGTAATAGGCAACCAAAGTTTCCTATATAAAACATACAGTGGCATAAATATATACAATATTTTATATTTATATACAACATTCTATACATACATACACACACGTGCACATGTGTACAACAATAAAGTCACACACTATATATTTTTTATTTTGTGGAAAATTACTGTCTTCACGCTCCCCCCAAGAGCATCACTTTGCTCTTTGTTGTTTAGTTTTGTTTTTTTTTTAAATCACAATGCTTATTAGGAAATAAGGTCTATAAATAAGATTTCACTGGAGTTGAGAAAAGAGTTTTATCTCTTTATTTCTGCTCCTCTCTCCAAAGATGATAGCAGGTTATTGTTTCAATTGTTTCAGCCTCTATTTTTTGCTCAAGGCAGAGATAGAGTCACCTTGGAATGGTAACTCACTCATCTCAGTTGTTCTGTAATGAGTGGCTTCCAGGATTTGTTGCCTAAATGCAAAGATGATATATTAATGGCTCTCCTCTTTATGGCTCTTTTTTTAGCAGCATCTTCTCCCTCTGATCTATGGAAATTCTGGGGAAGAAGTGTGTAATTTGCATAAGGAGGCCAGAGCTTTCTGGGAAAAAAGGGACCAACACTCTAACATTAGCTGCTGAAATTGGAGACAGGAAAATCTGTCAGGGTAACTACTGTTTGCCACAAAGGGAAACTCACCTGAAGGGGAGGAGTACTCTCAGTTGGTTCTCACATGAGCTCAGTGTGGTCATGGAGGTGGACTCTTTCTACTTCAGTGTATGGTTGAGAGCCAAAACTCTCAAGTCTCTGCTACACAGGGTATAAAGTCTGAGCCTGTATGTGTCCCAGGAGAGCTTTAACTGTGGACCCCAATCATAGACCGTCTTCCTAAGCTGGCCTGTGTGTCTGGTCCAGTAAGGACATCATCTACTGGATATCAGTGTCAGGAAAGTCTCATAAGGGCGGAGCCATATCTAGTATGTTGCTATATCCCTGGTTCCTAGCCTACTGTTTTGTATGTAAAAGATGCTCAGTGAATTACTTGAGTGTATAAGATGCCAAATAAAGGACCCAGGATCTGGAATTCAGTAACAAAACATTATGGTAGCAACCACAGCTACTGTGGTAACTCAAATCTCTCTGCTTTGTATCTGGAAAACATGAGTGCTTTGGAATGAATTCTTGGACTATTAAGGCAGAAGACATAAAGAGGCCTTGACAAGAATATACTCTAGTTCGTGTGAATAAAGGTAAATTGATTTGCAGTGGGTTGATCAGAAAAAAATAGAAGCACTGTTACTGTATTTGCATCCCCAGCAGGTAAAGCAAGTCATACTGGTTGTGTAAGATATTATTTCAAGTATCTGAATCGTGTAGATCACAGGTGACTGTTGCAAAGTTCTGGTTCTCTGGAAGGACATGCCTGAATAAATCTTATTTTACTTGGGTAAACCACTTAATACACATATATACATTTTTTACTTTAGAAATAGCTCCTCACTCCAAAATGAGCTCAAGTTACTTTTCAGGTATAAGAAGATCAACTCAGCGTTTCCAATTCCCCAATTCAAATCTCAAAAATCAGGACAATTTCTCCAGACCTATGTCTGAGAAATCAGAGATAGTGAAGACACAGCAGACAGTATATATTATCTGGAGCTAATATACTCACAATGACTGCTATGTAAATAATTCAAGTAAAATGTTAGTATTAATTGTCTTACAGAGTGAGTTTTTGTGGAGTTAGCAATTACTATTTAAAATGTACATACAGACCAGGCTCGGTGGCTCAGCCTGTAATCCCAGCACCTTGGGAGGCTGAGGCGAATGGATTGCCTGAGCCCTCGGATTTGAGACCCACCTGGGCAACTTGATGAGACCTTGTCTCTATGATAAATCAAAAAATTAGCCGGGTGTGGTAGTGCATGCCTGTAGTTCCAGCTACTTGGAAGGCTGAGGCAGAAAGAAAGCCGGAGCCCAGAAGGTTGAGGCTGTGGTGGCCGGGAGCATGCTGCTACACTCCAGTCTGGGCGACTGAGTGAGATTCCAACTCATAAAATAAAATAAAATAAAATAAAATAAAATAAAATAAAATGTACATACAACTTAGAAACTATATATGGGTCTTTTTTAAATAAACAAAATATACCTAAAAACTATGGGGATAAGTATTTTTATATGTTGAATTAAATTGTAAATAAAATAGGAGAGTTTCTTGTTTAAATAAATTTTGCAAAAAATCATGTGATGAAATGAAATGAATTTTAAAGCTAATGTTGACCTTTGATTTCTTGTTTGTGCAGCATTACATGATAGAGAAAAAAACTGTTTTGGTCAAATAGGCCTTGACTGGAATACTTGTAATGAAATCCTTGTTGGTTTGTTCATCAAACAGAGATGATAAAAAAAGCACAGTGCTTGACATAAGAGGTTCTCAGTCACTATTCTCTTTTTGGAGCAGAATCTAATTCCCAGCATCTGTTAGATAACATTTAATAGGAGACCATTGGTTTGGGCTGAGCTCCTGCAGTACACCTCACCAATCAAACCAAAACGGAGTTACTCATGTTGGAGTTTCAAGCTACCAAGCCAAAACTAACTTGTTGATCCTTAAACAGGCCAGTTTTAGCTGACATGATATGGAAGTCTTCCTGTTTTAACTTTTAGAAGGGAAAGATCTATGAAATAACCAATCTATTTTTTCTTCTGTTTCTCCCTTTTTTAGACATTTTCTGTCTATAAAGCTAAACTCCCATGCTCAACTCATCAAAACACTCATTCTATTTCATAAAATGAAGTGTTGCCTGATTCTAGAATTGTGGATCAAAGCCAATTAAGATATTTCAACCAAATTTGTTGTAACTTTGCCTTTCAACGTACTTGAGCACCTGTTAAATACTACAGCCTGGCTTCGGTCATGCTATGGCAGTTTGGGAAGGGCCTATATTGTGCTTCAGAATGAATTGCTAAGAGGAGAGTTGTTTCTTCATAAGGCCTGAGTGGTGACATTGGGGGCTGTCACTAATAGAACAGAGGACTTCTGTATCCCTAAGAACAACCACCTCATGTGGTTAATAATAGCTGAGGTAGCAACAAGGCAGCAGAAATAACCCCTGTCCTTGAGCACAATTGGACCCTGTGTGGGGGTGGGAATGTCACATTAATGAAAGGTGATTTCTGACAATAAGGTTGATGGGGTTGCAAGATATCTTAATTGCACAACAGAATAATGTGTCCTTATCTTGCAGTCATAGGAGTTATTTGTTTCATAGCATGGAGGTAAATAGCTTGTTTTATTGATTTTAATTGAACTGGGGAGAAGTTTGAGAAATGTTATAGCCTACCCTTCCCTTGCCCCTCTTTTTTTTTTCACCCATAAACTCCTGAGACCTGGATGGGAGAGTATAAGAAAAAGAGAACACAAGAGCAAAAGATGAAATATAGCTACAACTCTTCAAGATAAAGAGAAGAATTTGGGAGCATCACAATGTGTTGCTTTTGTTTTTCCCCTCTGCTTTGCTTTCTACCAAGCCTACTTCCTCAATGCTGTGGCTGAAGATCAACGACAATAACTCTTACTGTTTTCTGACCCAGCCTCCTTATCAAAAATGGTGTCAAACAAGTGGTTTTTCATGCACTGAGACTTGAGTCTGTTTTAATCAGCTGTTGCATATTAGATTATTGTTCTAAATTCTTTGTTCTTCCCTGTATCCACACCTTTTACAATGTGACTTTGCAGTTACTCCATAAAAGAGTGTATTTCCCATCCCCTTGATTTTGGACTTGACCATATATATGACTTACTTTGGCATGTTGGTACTTGTGGTACAAACAGGGGTTGCAGAGTGTTTGTGCAGTGGTGCTTGCCCTCTTACTCTCTGTCACTGCCATAAGAATCCTCCACTCTGGGTAGATGTTCCCTCTGTGTCACAGAAAGAAAACACACTCCACAGAGATCTAAGCTGGCCAGACCCACAGCTCAAACAGGGTCATTCTGCTAAACCCAACCTGGATTAACTGACCCCTAGTAACATGAGACTGCAGACATGTGAGCAAATAAATGATTGCTGTTTTAAATCACTGAGCTTTGGGGTGATTTATTATACAGTAGTGGCTAATATACTGAATTGCTGTGGAAAGGAGGTAGTGAGAAAGGAATGCTTTTTTCATAGGGATTCATCTGTCACAGGGGAATTGCTGCTACATCAGGGAATGAAGGAGAGAAGGATAGTTGGTGGGGCCAGTGTGACAATAGGGCTATGAGAAAAACAATATAAATCTGGGGGACATTAGGAAATAAAATCAGAGTAGTACCATCTCTGATGTTCCAGCTTCACATAGTAGTTTCCTTTTAAAGAACATAGTGTGGAAAGTGGGAAAAGAGTAACTTTACGGTGGGGAACCCTGGTAAACCCTTTCCAGCCAGAGGATCATGTTTAACATCAACAGTGACAAATCAAGTTGATAGTATGTAACCCTGAAATGGTTTAATGAGAATAGCACTTTAAGCACAGTGGTCTTCCTCCAGAAAACCCACAACCCCAGTCAAACCATTAGAAAAACATCAGACAACCCCAGTTGAGGACCATTCTGCAAAATAGTTGATCAATACGGTACTTCTAAACACTAGCAATTTCATCAAATACAAAAAAAGTCTGAGAAACTGTCACAGCACAAATTGATATAATGATGTAATGTACTGTGGTACTTGGAAAGGGATCCTGAACTGAATAAAGTGTAGGTTTAGTTAATTGTATGTATCAATATCGGTTCAACTTGTGAAAAAAAACATTGACCGTATGGACTGGGTGCAGTGGCTCATGCCTATAATCCTAGCACTCTAGGAGACCGAGGTAGGAAGATTGCTTGAACCCAGGAGATCCAGACCAGCCTGGGCAACATAATAAGACCTTGTCTCTACAAAAATCAAAAAATTAGCTGGGTGTGGTGGCACACACCTGTAGTCCCAGCATTCTGGGAGGCCGAGGCGGGAACAGAGTGAGACCTCGTTATACACGCACACACACAAAAATTAGCTGGGTGTGGTGGCACATGCCTATAGTCCCAGCTACTTGGAAGTCTGAGGTGGGAGAATTGCCTGAACCCACGAGGTCGAGGCTGTGGTTAGCTGTGATTGTGCCACTGCACTCCAGTCTGGGCGACAGGTGACAGAGTGAGACCTCAATTAAAATAAGTAACTAAATAAATATACCGCATGTAAGACATAAACAATAGAGGAAACAGTGTGGAGCATATTTCTGTAAACCTACTTTAAAATTAAAAGTTTATTTTAAAAAATCAGAAGAGTAAAATTTCTTAAACAAATTATCTCATTCCCCAAGAGGCTTCTTTGTTTTGATTTTACCCATTGATACAATCTCCCTCTTTCCTCAAATCCTGGAATTCCAGTTCACCCAAATCTTTTTGAGATAGTGCTTTCAATTATCTTCTTTCTCCTCATTTGCTCACATGTCACTTGCAGTCATCCCATAGGCAAGTGACCCCAGGCAAGGCAAGATAGGGCAGGGCAGGGCAGTTCTGTCAAGTTACTATCATCCCAACAAATCAGTTACATGAAATAGCATGTCTTCTTCAGAGGAAAATTATTTCTTACGGAACTGTGAAAGCAAGTCAGCGTTCTTATCTTAGGCATTGAAAAGTCATAGAACTTAACATAGGAAGTACTCTAAAAATCATCTGGCTCAAATCTCTCAACTTAAAGATGAAGAGAATGAGAGCCAAAAAGATAAGGCTGACTGGGTGTGCTGACTCATGCCTGTAATCCCAGTACTTTGGGAGACTGAAACTAGAGGATCACTTGAGCTCAGGAGTTTGAGAATATTCTGGGCAATATAAGAGTCCTTGTCTCTACAAAAAAAATCAAAAAATTAGCTGGGCATGGTGGTGTGCACCCATAGCCCTAGCTACTCAGAAGACTGAGGCAGGAGATCATTTGAGCCTAGGAGTTTGAGTCTGCCGTGAGACATGATGGTGCCACTACACTCCAGTTTGGGAGACAAAGTGAGACCCTCAACTCAAAAAAGAAAGAAAGAAAGCAAGAAAGAAAGAAAGCAAGAAAGAAAGCAAGAAAGCAAGAAAGAAAGAAAGAAAGAAAGAAAGAAAGAAAGAAAGAAAGAAAGAAAGAAAGAAAGAAAAAATAAAAGAGAAGAGAGGGTTAACAAGGAGAGCCTCAAAGTCAGGTTTCCTGCTTTAGAGACTGTACATGCAGTTTATTGCACAAAATTTTTATGGAAAGAATGACCAGAGAAACTACATTTATTTCAGAAAATAGTTAAGCATTTATTCTGAGTAAGGCATTGTATTAGGTACTAGAGACAATAGAAAAATGAATAAGAACAGCACCTGTTACCAAGGAGTTTTCAATCTAGGGATAGGAGAGAAATAACTCCGATATATAGAATAACTGTAATAGAAGCAGGAGTATATGCCATAAGAGATATAAAGGAGAGAGACGTGACATCCAGTCAAGGATATCAAGAAAGGATTCATGCAGGATTTTTTTTTTATTTTGAAAAATGTGATTTTATTTTATGAATCAAAAAGAAGCATATTCATGTTAAATTTAGGATGTTTAGTTTTCCATTATCTCTCAAATACTTTCTAGACATTCACAGTGCTCAGAACTGTATAAAAGTTAACATCCAATACCACATTTTAAGGAAAAAAATTTAAATGTAGGACCTATTTCTAAGAAATCTTTCTCAAAGATCAAGGCATTGACAATTCTAATTTTAAAATAAAGTAATTGTGTTATTGGAAATATAAGTAATAATAGTTTCAAAAGCTGGAAGTCAGATCTCTTTTAAAACAGAATTTAAAAAAAAATCCTGAGGAATTTATACCTGACAACTGAAATTAAACACAATACTCTACCCAACTCCCAAACTATTAAATCATGCAGGAATTATCATTTGCTGTGGACTTTGAAGGATGGGAGATTTTGGTGGGTAGAGATAATGAACAAGACATCCTAACAGAGGAAGAGCAAAAGTCAAGTCAGAATTGTAGGAAAACCATATTTAGCAAATGGTGCTGGGGAAACTGGCTAACCACATGCAGAAGAATGAAACTGAATCTCTACCTATCACCATACACAAAAATTAACTCAAAATGGAGTAAATGGACTTAAATGTGAAATTCCAAACTCTTAGAATCTTACAAGAAAACTTAGGAAACACTCTCCTGGACATTGGAGTAGGAAATATGTTTATCGGCAAGTTCTGAAAAGCAACAGGTAGGACCTTATCAAGCTAAAAAGTTTTTACACAGCAAAAGAAACCATCAAAAGAATAAAAAGGCAACCCACAGAATGGGAAGAAATACTAGCAAGTTATGCATCTGACAAAGGCCTAACATCTAGGATTTATAAGCAACTCAAATGAACTGACAGGAAAAAAAACCCAAATAAATAACCCCATTAAAAAGTTGGCATAGGACATAAACAGACACTTCTCAAAGGAAGATATCCAAGCAGCCAATGAAAAATGTTCATCCTCACTAATCATCAGAAAACTGCAGATCAGAACTACGAGATACCACCTAACACTGCTCAGGATGACTATCATTAAAAAAATCAAAAAACAACAGGTATCGATGAGGCTGTGGAGAAGAGCGGACACTTCTACACTGTTGGTGGGAATGTAAGCTAGTTCAACCTTAGTGGAACTAGCAGTGTGGCATTTTCTCAAAGAACTAAAAATTGAGCTACCATATGATCCAGCAATCCCACTTCTGGTTCTATTCCCAGAGAAACATAAATAGCTTTATCAAAAAGACATCTGTACACACATGTTTATTGTAGCACTATTCACAATGGCAAAAACATGGAACCAACCCAGATACTCATCAAAAGTGGGCTGGATAAAGAAAATGTGGTACATATACACGGTGGAGTACTATGTAGGCATAAAGAAGAACAAAATCATATGCCTTGCAGCAACATGGAAGCAGCTGGAGATCATTATTCTGACAGAGCTATCACAGAAACAAAAAACTGAATACTGCATGTTCTCACTCATAAGTGATCCCTAAGCACTGGACAGGTGAACACAAAGGCAGGAACAACTGACGCTGGGCACTATCAGTAAGGGGAGGGAGGGGAGATAAGGGACATATCACCATCCACTGGGTACCGTATCTACTATCAGGGGAGAGAGGGTTTGCGAGAAGCCCAAACCTCACCTGCATGCAATCTACTTATGTAGCCAATCTTCACATGTTCTCCGACTCTAAAATAAAAAAGGAAAGAAAATAAATGGGGGGATATACAGACAGCATTTGAGGAAGAGCAAGTCACTTGGTTTGGTGAGAAAATCTATAAGAATAGGCCAGAATACTATGAATGAAGGGCTTTGGATAGCTGTGGCTTTGGTATTTGATTCTCTAAGTAATGAGGAATGACTGATTTATGTCACTGGCAGAGAAGATGTAGATTTTCCTTGGCTTGACATTTTCCTGTTCAGAGTGGTAAGAAGATAGAGTCATTCTTTAGCCCCAATATGGAGGCAGATCATAGGATGAATTAGAGGAAGGCATGTCCCTTGAACAAGGTGGGAATAGGGTGGGAAATTCAGAGTGGTCTATGAGAATATGGAGCTGAAGTCATACAACATTAGCATGGCCAGAATAATTGTTAAATGTGTGAACCAAGAGGAATGGAACATGTGTCAGGGTGACACTGTAACAGCAGAACTTGCAGCCAGTTTAAGACACCTGAGAAGTGAGTTATGGAGCAAGATGAGGGTGAGCTGGAAGGACAGGAAATGCTACAAGCAAGAGATTCATTAGTCTGGACCATTCTCTTATGCTGATCATCAACGTGGGCCATATGAAAATTAACTTGACATGATAAAGTGCCAAAGTGAGTGTTAGAATAAAAAGCAGATTTTCAAACGAAATTCTGGTTTGGTTTTGCAACTCTAAAAACACCCAACCCATAACAAGTGTGTGATCATTTTTATATGACAACTTGGCTAGCCTATAATCCCTAGTTATTCAATCAAACAGTAGCCTATGTGTTGCTAAGATGGTACTTTTTAGATGCAATTATCTCCATAGTTGGTCAACATTAAGGGAGATTATCTAGATAATCTGGGTGGGCCAGATTCCATCTGTTGAAAAGCTTGAGGAGCAAAGCTGAGACTTCGTTGAAGAAAAAGAAATTCCACAAGTGAACTGCAGCTGCTGCTGGGAGTGGAGAGTTTCAGCCTGCTCTTCCTGAAGGCTTGTCCTCTGGGTTTGCCTAGTCAGCCCCCACAATCATGTAAGTCAATTGGTTGTAATAAATCTCTTAATATGTATCTTCTATTGGTCCTGTTTCTGTGGTTGCACCCTGAGCAAGTTGAAAGAGGAGTGCTCTAATTATCGACATGTGGGGGGTTTGAAAAAAACAGAAAGAGGCGTGCTCAAGAGACAAGTTAGTGAGGAGAGGTAAGCTTTGTTTTCCTCCCCTCAAACAAGATGGAACTTCAATGGGACCCCTAAGAATTTGACATGTGTTCTATGAATTTGGGGGCAGCATGAACTGATAACAACTCCTGTGGGTGAGAGGGGGTGGGCTACCTCCTTTAGTAGAGGAGCCACCTAAAATCAGTACAGAGACTTCCAAGTAAGGATATGAACTGTGCATATACTGATATTTTCTCCCTTGTAAAAACTGACTAAAATAATAGTAAATGGATTTTCTAAAAAAGTCACAAATCCATAAGAATAGGAAGTCTAAAAAAGGAAGCAATACAAACAAAATTTTGTTGGGAAAGAAATAAAAGAATGATTAAAAAAAAAAATCTAACAGAATCTACCAGTATCAGCTGACTATATAACACAGTTATCTAAAAAGAACAAATTTCAATGTCCCTTATGGGAACAACAGAGATTGTAAAAATGTAACTTAAGATTCTCAGAAGCCTTTGTGTAAACACAGATATACACCACTTGTGGGTTACCCTGAGT